GGAGCTGGGAGCAGGGGCAGTTGGCGATGGCGCGCTCTGGGGAGGGATGTCTCCGGTCTTGGGTGCAGCTGGACTCTGTGTTGAGGTTCCTGGCATGGGGACCCCTCTATCCCAGCTGGGGAGGGGGCCGAAGCTGCGGGCCCTTGGTGATGGGGTTGGGGAAGGGTGGCCCCGGTCGGGGGCTCTTAGGAGAGCAGTGCTGGGAGACAGCTCCCCACCTAGCAGGGGCTGCTGGGGCTCAGGCTGGTTCAGGGGGCTGTAAGTCTTACATTAATTGTTATGAGCAAAGCTGGGGCGGGGGGATATGGGGTGTGTTTGAGCAGAATTCTGCCCTCTGCTAGTGGGCATTTAGGGCCAGCACTGCGCTCACTGGGCAGGTGTGAAGAGAGGATGAGATTTAGTCTTAATATCTTTGTCTCCTATTTTAGGGCTTGAAAGGGGAGCCCTGTCCTCTGTCCTAGGAGAGTAAGGGAAACGGTTCTGCTCTATGTGGGAAGGCTGATGTGAGCAGAGGGGTCTCTGGCAGAGCTGTATGGAAGGAACTTTCCTGCTTGTTTGGGGCTAGAGAGTGGGCAGCAGCTTTACCAGGGGTGAGAGTCCTGGTTTGGAGGGGCAGAAAGGGAAAGTGTGAGTCCAAGGGACAAAATAACCCTTGTTGCAGATAAGGGATGAGGTACCTACAGAGGCTTTATGGTGATATGAAGTGTATGAAAAACTGGTTTAGGGACACAGTATGGCAGCTTTTGTCTTATTAACAGCTAAGAAAATGTGGGGGTAGGGCACAAGATGTTTCACCCTTCCTTTTAATCTTATTCTTTGTCAGAAAAAAATAAAAGTCAGATGGTGGTGAATGCCTTTATGTATTCTAGTGCTTCATTCCTACCCATCTTTTCCCAATGCCTCTTTTCCCATCCTGTCCCAAGGGAACTTAGGGCTGCTGGGTTCCAAGCATCCTTCAGCAGTTGGAAGATCACAGTGGGGGTGACCATGCAGGTTGAGCTGAAGGCAAAAGAGTGGGGTCAGTGTCCTGTGGTGTGCAGGGTCACCGGCTGTCAGCAACCTGGGAAGAAGGCAGGAAAGGTGCTGTGGGGCTTGACAGTGAGCACCTCCTCAGCTCTGTGGAACATTTGCAGCCCCTGGTTGTTAAGAGGATGTGAGGACTATGGAAAGTGCTTGGAGGGGATAGAGTGGTTTATAGGGAACTGCAGGTTGTTCCTGAGAGCAGCCTTGGCACTGTGTGTGCCAAGAGTAATGAGAAAGAAAATGCTACTCTGGTGAGTTTTGATAGGACTGTTAGAAAACTACCAAAATGGTATTTTAGCAGTTAAACATTAACTGCAATTGTTGTCTCTAAATGGAGCAAACTTCTCTCTCAGGCTAATGTAGCATTTGATGCCTAACTTTTAATGTTTTTTGTTGTATATACGTCAGTTTTAAAAACACATTTTTGCCCAGGTCTAAACTTGAAAACATCGTGGTTTTATTTTGTTTGTTTTTCTGTTGCTTTACTTCATTTTCATGTTGCTGAGGGTTGGTGACTTTATTAGTGGTGGCAGGACCTGTTCTGTGTGACATTTCACATATGTTTGTCAGGGGCAGGATGCCTGACTTTCCTTTTCCGGGGAATGTCCTCTCAGCTGATTTCAAGCCTTTCTTATTTGCTGCAGTAACATTTTTTGTGTTCCTAATGTAGAGTCCTAATGTCATGCTAACTATTCTTCCTCTTCCTTATTTTCTTCCCTAAAGAAATGGGAGCAGCTGTCCCGACTGCAGCGCAGCATCATTCTCTTCCTTTTTGCCTTCTTGGCAGTCTGTGGAGTCATTTCATACACAAGCATGGAGGAGCCATGGAAGAGTATGTGTTTGGCTGGGAATTACTGGCATGTGGTGGTACATTTAAGAAGTTGCTGCTATTCTTGGAACTAATTTTACTTTTTATTGACAATGACTGGATGTGTCCATGAAAGTGCAGTTGGGAGATGATTTTAGGTGATGTGTTTCAATTACTTGTTTCTGCTTAATCAGAAATATTTTTAATATGCCTTTGCATTGTTTTATCTTGACTAGAGCAATATTTTGTTTTTATTTGATTAAGATTTGGAGGCTGTTTATTTGGTGTTTTTTTTTTTATGTTTGTGTGTAGATATTGCTAACCCAAACCTAAACAATAGGATGAGATCATCCTCTCTTGGTTTTGGTTGTCCATCAGATTAGAAATTGCAATCTTTTTCACAATATGAAAGCACATTTACCTTTGATATTATCTTACTGTCTGTATTGAGAAGCTAAAATAATAGCAATTGGGGAAAAAAAAAAAGTGCGCATGTGCCATTTAGCAGCCTCCTTGCATATTAAGGAGAGTGTTGATACCAAAAGACACTTTGACAATTAGTGTGTCTCATCAATGTTTTTGAATTGAAACATTTTTTGGAGGCGCATCTAGTATGTGAATGCTGTTACACATTTCTAGCTGGAGCCTAAACTGTTTATTCCTTGTGCTGAGCAGTTCTGTGTGTCTAGGTCTAATTAACAAATCATTGGATGATCAGAGAACAGAACCAGAAATTCCTGGATTAAAGCTGGCAAATCCAGCTGTTCTACCAGCACCCCAGAAAGCTGATGCCAACCTTGAAGACCACCCAGAACTTTCACCACAGGTACTGTGAGAAGAAATGAGTTTTATATACCTACCAGAGTGTTTGTAAACACTGCAAATATTGCTTGTTTGCAACAGTTGTTGAGGAGAAAGAAGTTATAACTTGCAATAGAAGTCTTCTCTGGGTGGAATTCTCTCCTGTCAAGAAAGGCTTTGGTATAGTGTTTCTTGGCTTTACCCTTTTTTATTTAAGTGTTTAGTTATACTAGTTCTTAATCACTGCTGTACTGAGGAGTGCCAGGACTTCAGGTCACAGTGACCTCTCACTTGAGGCTTCACTTTCCTGGTATGATTGGTTTGGACCTGCAGTGCTCTGGACATCAGCCCTGCTGTTGTGAGGAGCCTAAATAGAGGCCTGGCTGAAAATGAGACATAGGATGCAGTCAGTGTCACAGGAATTGGATTGGCTTTGCTGGGAGCTTGAAAAAACAGCTGCCAACAGCAGAGGCGTGAGTAGGTTTTGAAGGGTTACATTTGTGAGGGATGTGACAGGAAAGAAACGTGAATTGACTGTGTTACTCTTCACATATTGACCTGGTGACTTTGGGGATTCCTAGATAATGAATATGAAAATCTGTATTAAATCTTTCCCTCGTTGTGCACAAAATGCAGATTTATTACTGTACAGTAATTCTTGGTGTTACTTAACACTGCCCTTGTGTAAGGTCTAAAAAGACAGATGTGGTGCCAGGGGACAGGATTTAGTGGTGGATGTGGCAGAGTGGTCCTGTGATACTGTGAAAGTTGGTTTTTTTGCATGCTTTCTGCTAATTCCAATAAAAATTCACTCGGCCTAGTACAAGGCAATCAGATATCTTTACAATCCTTTGGCAATGCCTTTTGTTAAATTACTATCTGGTAGCAGTAGAGGTAGTTTTAAAGTAATTTATCTTAATAAACTTAAGAACTGGATAATTTTACACAAGTTTAAAGCACACCAAAACCCAGGGTCTTTAGCATACCTTCCATTCAGGGCAGAACTTACATGCCTGATACAATATCAAAATAAGATTTATCTGAAATGGTGTTTAATGCTGAAATTATGTTGATTTATGGTTTGAAATTTGACCATTTCTGCAATGTACCAAGCATTGTTTTTTCTGTATTTTCTCAGAAGCCACCAAAACTGCCTCATGTTCGGCGTGGTCCTTCCAATCTGCAGATCAAGCCGCCATGGAGGGATGTGAGGCTGAAGACTCAGCATGGTACCAGCCGAGCTGTAGAAGAGCCAGTCCAAGCTGATAAGGAAGAGAAAACAGAAAAATCTGTTATCAGGTAGAAATGTTCCCAGCAAGTTGCAGTGTTCCCCCCCAGCCCTCCAAGATCCATTAGATGCTGGAGTGAAAATTTTAAGGATGTTCTGTGGTCAGGTTTGAGGTTGATTTCTTTCCTTGCACATATTTTTTCTGAGGCCTGGTCTAACAGCTATTGATACTGCTGTACTGATTTATTTTATTTTCGGTGAATGTGCAGATTTTCTGTTTTCACTCTTTGCATCACAGAACTGCAGAGGATTTGGAGCCCTCCTGGGCTTTTTGTGTTTCTAATGCACCTGGACACTTGTGATGCTCAGGAGATTTCCCAGTGTCTCTACATTCCTACCATTTGTTTTTAGTTCCCACCATTGTAGTAAATATCAATGTACCAGTGTCAATACAAAGATCCTGTCACAAGTGCCTTTGTCCTGGCTCAGACTTGGAAAATGGCAGCAGTGTCAGTATTGGGTTGTGTGTGGCACCACTAAGTACAGTTGTCCCAGGATGAACTGGCAGAAGCTGTAGACGTGTGTGTAGTTGTGTGCATGTAACTGCACGAAGGGTGCTCACTCCCTTCTTACAGGAGGTCCGTCATACAGCTCAAAGTCCCCTTGTGCATTTCTAGTGTTATAATATCCATACTAATATCTCTACTCTGCACTGGTGCTGCTTCACCTTGAGCACTGTGTGCAGTTTTGGGCACTACAATATAAAAAGGACATCAAACTATTGGAGAGTGTCCAGAGGAGAGCCACGAGGATGGTGATGGGTGTGGATGGGATGACTTCTGAGGAGCGGCTGAGGTCACTTGGATTGTTCAGCTTGGAGAAGAGGAGGCTGAGGGGTGAGCTCACTGCAGTCTGTGGCTTCCTCAAGAAGGGAAGCGATGGGGCAGGTCCTGATCTCTTCATTCCTGTGACCAGTGGCAGGACTGGGGGAAATGGCAGGAAGCTAAATCAGGGGAGATTTTGGTTGGATATCAGGAGAAGGTTTTTCACCCAGAAAGTGGTTGAGCACTGGAACCAGCTGCCCAGGGCAGGGGTCACAGCACCAAGCCTGCCTGAGTTCAAGAAGTGTTTGGATGATGCTCTCAGGCACATGGTGTGATTCTTGGGGTGCCCTACACAGGTACAGGAGTTGGACTTGATTATCCTGATGGATCCCTTCCAGCTCAGCATATTCTATGATCTTTTACAGGGAGTCTGTACTGCTGTGATTGTATTTATGCAAAGTTCTTTCCTAAGACATTATTGATCAAAATCTTTTGATTTGGGAGTAACTGAAGGGATGTGACTTAAGTATAGAAAACACCGCTACAAGTTCAGAAGAAGTTCTTAAGATTTGGAAAAGTAGGTCCGGGGTTTTTTTGTATGTTTGTGTCCTTTTCAGCACCATCACAGCATCAGCACTTAAGCTGTTGGGATTTTCTGAAATCTCTCAGAATGACTTGAAGTGTTTTATTCCTGTGCTTCCAGTTACACTGTAACTTGTGGAGTTAGATGGGTGGCAACAGGAGAATTTAGGAGGGTAATGAAAGCTACAGATGTAAAGAATGAAAGTAAGAAATTAAATGATGGGATTTATGTAAGTCATAAGATATAGTGGCTGTAAACAATAGGAACTTTAAAGGTCCTAAAGGCCTGGTTCCCTCAGGAGGCATCTCATGAACTCAAAGCACCGTATCTATATATTAAGCAGCACGATCAAGATTGTTTGATCTTGATATGAACTTGGCTTGACTTGAAGTCTGTTCTGAAAGACTTCTCCTTCAGGAGCTTCTTAATAAAATCTGTAAAAACTGACTTATACATCTGTGGTGGTAGGAAAGGCTTATGGGTAGTAAAGCAAATACATTAAGTGCCTAGTCATAGAATCATAGAATGATCCTGGGTGGAAGGGACCTTGAAGATAATAAAGTCCAATCATAACCTAAATTCCTTTACCATAACCTTATTTACCCGTTCAGTGCTTAAATCATGTCCTCTCTGCTTATTCATTTTTTTTGGTATCACTATTTGTGTGGTAGTCTTTAGTGTCAGTGGCTCCTGTCATAATTTCAGAACTGGTAGGTAACAAAATACTTCTCCTGCAGCATTCTCAGTTGTCTGAATTCTTTGTAGAAGTTCTTTATGAAATTTGGTTGCCAAGATATTTAACCAAATTCCAAGAGCCTGTAAGACACAAAATTTCTGTAGTGCAAATTACTTTCTTTGAACAGAAAAATTACCTAGTGGACAATGTAGTTATTTTGATTCTTGATACAAAATCCAACTCCTGTTTTGGTGAAGTGTTGTGAAAAAAAGAAAATGCAGGGATAATTCTCATCATTTGCTTGACTTCCTGTGAAGCCTTAATTACAGTCCTTTATATTTGCAGCTGGAGAGGAGCAGTGATAGAACCTGACCAAAGCACCGAACCCCCATCAAGTAAAATAAAAGAACCAGAAAAACCTTCATCTGTGGAAGCTGAAGACCAGAAGGAGCCAGGTAAGCAGTACAGTTAATGGTAACTTTATTTCTGTTTGATTTTAAGGTTTAAGTTGTGCCATTCCTCCCCACACACATCTATTAATTTATTTTAAGTAAAGGAAACAGAAAGCATAGGATAGATGATTTACCTAGAACATCCAAGCCTTTCAGTGTCCTTATTCCACCATGACAGCCTTCAGTCAAAATTCTGCAGGAATTGCGGTATCAAATTTCAGTGTTGAATAAAGAATATTCTGATACATAAGTTAAACTTACCTGGTGTGTCCAATGCCCTGGCAGAAACTGTTTACTGTGGCTGCAGTGGGCAGACTCTGTGGCAGTGGGTTGCAGAGTGTGTGTTGGATGTGCTGCTACTTGCAGCTAGTTGCTACCTCTGTCCTCTTCTAAAGTGCTTGTCTGCTTCTGGAGAATGCACTGTGTCCTCTCTGGTGCTATATAAAATGGTACCTGGTCAAGATACTCTGCTCATGTGAGATCCCACCTGGAGTACTGCATCCAGTTCTGGAGCCCTCAACATAGTAAGGACATGGAGCTGTTGGAGAGTCCAGAGGAGGCTATGAAGATGATGGGAGGGCTGGAACAGCTCTGCTCTGGAGACAGGCTGGGAGAGTTGGGGTGTTCAGCCTGCAGAAGAGAAGGCTCCAGGGAGACCTTAGAGCACCTTCCAGTGCCTGAAGGGGCTCCAGGAAAGCTGGGGAGGGACTTTGGACAAGGGTTTGTAGTGAGAGGGCAAGGCGGAATGGACTGAAACTGGAAAAGGGGAGATTTAGGTTAGACATTAGGATGAAATTTTTTCTTGTGAGGGTAGTGAAACACTGGAACAGGCTGCCCAAGGGAAGCTGTGGCTGCCCCATTCCTGGAAGTGTCCAAGGACAAGTTGGATGGGGCTTGGAGCAACCTGGTCTAGTGGGAGGTGTCCCTGCCCATAGCAGGGTAGTGGTTGATCTTTAAGGTCCCTTCCAACCCAAACCACTCTGGGATGCTATGATGTGTGATCAGGACTGGAGCTACCCAGGGGTTATTTATTTCTATGCAAACTTAACTTCATGTTATCTCACACTGTGCATTTTTGCAGCAGCATTGTTACCTCTGAAATTCTGAAACAAGGGGTTGAAAGCAGAAATGTTCCTGATTCTGGACTTGTTTTATTGCTTTCCCAGAAGATAATCTCTTCATGTTGAGTAGACTGTGGAGATGCCCTCAGTTTCACTATATTCTGAATTTTTGGTACTTCTCTTCCCCCATCAGTTTCTTCTCAGCCTGTGCAAAAGAAAATAAAAGAATGTGCTGGAATATTTGTACTAAGTTTTGCTTTTGTTGCTTTTTTCCTTCTCTGTTTATGGAGGGCATGCACTCAATTTTGATCTTGCCCAGCTCTTTGTTTGCCTTAAACTGTTAGAATAATATTGAAAATAAATTTTAGTGACAAATCTTTGAAATAGAGCCTCTGGGATGAGGGAGACACTCCCATTGTTTCTCTAGGAAGTGACAGTTTAAAGAGAGAGGGCTTGAAAGGGACAGTTTTCTTTTTCCATGTTTTTCTGTTTGTTCTGCAAATACAGGGAAAGTTACTTCCTCTCTGAATTCAATGGAACTATTTTTAAGGCTCACCAGATAGCTGTAGGAATTGTTTTTGCAGTTGCTGTCCTGGTGGAGTAAAGATCCTGTTGTTCTGCTTTCTGGGCTCATAGGATTAAGTTCTGATATAAGAAATGTGGCTTATTACAGTGTGATGTATTTGGCTTGTGCTGGATTAATATATCCAGAGTTAATTATTCTGCCTGGTGTTTCCCACTCTAGAAAGCTTTGTTTATGCTTTTGTAAAATTTCAGCTAGTGGGCTTGACATTTTTCATTTTTCATCGTGGATGTGGAACAGAAGCTCAACTTTATGGCAAATTGTAAGCAAAAATTTTCTTCTCATTTTGTATGACATTAAAAACTTAAGAGAGGTAGTTTTATATAACTGATTTTAAATTTAGCAGGAAGCATTGAACAAGACAGGGAAGATGAAGAAAAAATGATATGTGGTAAATTAGCTGAGGATCGTATTGTTAAGCATATGTGTTCAGCAGCTGAGTTGTGGTTGATTTAAGCAATCTTATTTCTGGTATTTCTGGACTTGAAGGTCTTTGAGCTTTAGTGATGCTCACCTAACAAATTTGCATGTGATTCTTTGAATGTTTTTTTTTGCAGAAGTGAATTTTTTTTTGCCAGGGTGATATTGCTGTTTCCACCCAGATGAACTGACCACAAACACCGACCCCACAGAGGAAAGAAAAGAATAATCTGAGGGCGGTTTTTCCATTCCACTGAGCATGTAGTTTGGAAGAAAGGGTTTTTTTGGGTAGAATTGGTCTAGCTGCATGACTCCTGGGCAGGAGACCTGAGCAAGGTGCTGTTTGCCTTTTGCAGTGCCCATCAACGACCGTCAGGTGGCTGTGATCGAAGCCTTCCGACATGCCTGGAAAGGGTACAAGGACTTTGCCTGGGGCCACGATGAGCTGAAGCCTTTGTCCAAGTCCTACAGCGAGTGGTTTGGACTTGGGCTTACCTTAATTGATGCCTTGGATACCATGTGGATTTTAGGCCTAAAAGAAGGTATTTTTTTTTTCCTTTCATAATTTTTTCCCTTCCTTTATATTCTATGCAGGCAGCATGAGTTCAGAGTTCTTTGAGGGGGAATATTTATTACATATGGCCAGTAAGTTTAGCTTCCCTGTGAGGGTAAATACATATATATAAATAATATTTATAAAAATAAATGTTATAAAGCTCCCAATGATATTTAAGGACACCATTTTTCTTGCAATAGAATTTTGAGCCAGAAAAACCCTGCTCTCACATATAACAGTGGATGTATCTGCTAGAATCTCAGGAATGGAGGAGTAAGCCTCTTGGATTTTGTTTCTGTGCTAAACCCCCAGTGCTCTCTTTGTGCCATTGTAAAGCAAATGTAGGATTTCTACCTGTCAGTCTTTGGTAGTTGGCCTGAAAGTTCCCAGGTTGACACCTAATATCAATATTTCATATTTGGATTTCAGAAGGTTGTTTCTGTAAGGAATCAGTGGATGGAGAAGGGGAGTGTTCAGTACCTCCTTCCTGACTACTTTGCTGTCTGTATTTTTTAACAGTTGTTCTAGAAATTACTGTGTTAGAAAACTTCTAAACAACTTTTCAAAACTAAGCCAAAAATTCTGCAATTCTGTTGCAAAAAACTTGCTTAATCAGTATTTAAGAGGCTTGGTTTGTGGCTGGGTGTCTTTTTTTATGTGGTGCAGGGTTTGTTTTTTGTTGTTTGTTTTGGGGTTTTTTTAGCGGTATTAAAAAATTTCTGGAACTGTATCTGTTTAACCTTGGTAGATAGCCACCTTTGTAAACTTTTGTCAATAATCCAGTTTTATGTGCCAAGATAGGAAGAACAGAGCTGCTAGTAAGGGGAAAATAAAGTTCTTCACAGTTCTGTGTCTTCTGTGTTTGAAGTTGGTGTAAAATATTAAATGAAACAACTCCCTATTGTGTCTGCAGCTCTAGGCCCGAGGAGGTTGTCTTGGAAGTTACATCAATTTGATAGTGTGATGCTTTTATTGTTTTGTTGTGTTTTTCTCATAAAAAATGGATTGTGAACTGTATAGAGCTTTTAAAAGTATTTTTAAAGTATTTTATATCAGCTCTTGCTAATCAGCCTTAGAAAGCTCCTGGGGTTTCTTCTGAATAACAAATGCAGTATAAAGAGAAGCTCTGTTTGCAGTCGTGAGATTGCCAGTCTTTCTTGTAAACTGATGAGTGCGAATGCTTCTGTGAAAGAGGCCCCCACCTTTTCTGCTGTACTGCTGATAGTGCTGATATCCCACAGGGGAGATCTTGCTGTGGTTCTTTTCAGTCTACTCAACATCCACCATTACACACCATTCAAGATGTTTCTTTGTCATGAGGACACAGAGTCATCCTTTTGCTTTAGAGTTCATCTCCTGTGGATCACCTGCCATTTATGGTAGCCATGCTAAAATGGCATGGGTTTTTTTACATTCCTTTTTTAATTAATAATGTGATAAACATTTTTGTTCCTGGATAAAAAACCCAACCTGTGGACTATGGGAATTTTATCAGTTAAGTGCTGAAGTAGGAGGCAGGCTGTCCAGGACATTGCTAAACTAATGGCTGTTAACTGCAAATGTTATCTGTTATCTACCAAAAGAACACCTTTGGTTTAAAAAGATTTGATTAAAGTTCAGAAGGCTTTTGTGGATGGACTTAAAAGATCTCGATTTCTGGACTGTTTTAATGAAGAATTCCTCAATTTCTTATCTTTTTTTTTTTTTTTTTTTTTTAGATTATGAAGAACATTTTATTTTAGTGGGTATTTCTGTCTGTATGCACCTGTGTGGTGTATGCTGTTAAGAACTAATGGTAGTCAGACTTCTCCCAGGATGTGCTTTTCATTTTAGTTTTCCACCTGAAATTATACTGTCTTATACTGTAGGCAGATAAGAGTAACCATCCTGGTTATATGGAGTATTTTTGTCTCTAGTCTAGTTTTTGGAACATGCCAGAAGTTCATGACCCTTTATACTTTGCAGAGTTTGAAGAAGCAAGAAAATGGGTAGCAAACGATTTGGTATTTGATAAAAATGTGGATGTGAACCTCTTCGAGAGCACAATTCGGATCCTGGGGGGCCTGCTGAGCACCTACCATCTCTCAGGAGACAGCCTCTTCCTGGAAAAAGCTGTGAGTGACTAGTCTTATAAATGCAACTGGAGCAGGTATTCAATATTGGACAAAGTTGAGGAATTTTCATCAGAAAATTCAATGTTGCTGGTTTTTAACAGCTTCATATTTAAAGGGAATGGGATTTACCATTAATCTTTTAAGCATGCACTATTTACTCCCTGGATAACCTCAAAGCCCTGCTGTGTGTTATCAGGAATTCATCTATACCTGTTACCCTGCTGATGAAGATAAAAGGATAAAGGATAAAAGATAAAGGAGGAAAGAAATGGTTGACAAAGAGTAATATTTGTACTTAGTCACCCTTTCTGTGTATCTCAGCAGCATCAGCCACCTCTTTAGGTTAGCTAGATGCTGTCAGTGACTTCAGAGTTACCTCACATTGCATGGAGATAGCAGACTGAAATGAGGTTTGCAGTGCTAGGAAGAAGTTAGCAATTCTGTAGGACCTCAGTCGGCTTGAGTAGTGGGCTTGTGCAAAGTGCATGAAGTTCAGCAAGGCCAAGTGCAAGGTTCTGCACCTGGGTCAAGGCAACCCCATGCACGAATACAGGATGGGAAGAGAAAGGATTGAGGGCAGCCCTACAGAGAAGGACTTGGGGGTGACAGTGGATGAGAAGCTCAACATGAGCCAGCAATGCGCAATTGCAGCCCAGAAGCCAGCTGTGTCCTGGGCTGCATCAAAAGAAGTTTGGCCAGTTGATCAAGGGAGGTGATTCTCCCTATCTACTCTGCTCTTGTGAGACCCCACCTGGAGAACTGTGTCCAGTTCTGGAGCCCCCAACATAAAAAGGACATGGAGCTCCTTGAGCATGTTCAGAGGAGGGTGACAAAAATGATCAGATGGCTGGAGCAGCTCCCCTATGAAGACAGGCTGAGGAAGTTGGGGTTGTTCAGCCTGGAGAAGAGGAGGCTCCAAAGTGACCTTATAGCAGCTTTCCAATACCTGAAGGGGTCCTACAAGAAAGGTGAGGCAGGACTTTTTGCACAGGCATGTAGCGAGAGGACAAGGGACAAAGGGTTAAAACTTGCAAAGGGGAGGTTTAGGTTAGATGTTAGGAGGAAGTTCTTTACTGTGAGGGTGGTGAGACTGGAACAGGTGGCCCAGGGACGTTGTGAAAGCCCCATCCCTGGGAGTATTCAAGGCCTGGTTGGATGGGGCTTGGAGCAACCAGATCTAGTCGGAGGTGTCCCTGCCCATGCAAGGGGTTTGGATCTAGATGATCTTTAAGGTTGCTTCCAACCCTAACCTTTCTATGATTCTATGATTCCTGTGAATAAATTCATGACCCTTTTTAATTCTGGGCCTTCTCACACCATCTAAAACTTTGCTGCTATTCTCTGTTTTTCTGTCTGCCTAGTGAAAGAAAATTCAAAGGGGTGGGTGGGTGTGTCTGTATTTATTTTTTTTGTTTTATCTTTCTTTGACTTGTGCCCTTTGCTTTTCTTTAGAAAGACATTGGGAGCAGGCTCATGCCAGCATTCAAGACCCCCTCCAAGATACCATATTCTGATGTCAACATCGGCCGGGGCACTGCGCACCCCCCTCGCTGGACATCTGACAGCACTGTGGCAGAGGTGACCAGTATTCAGCTGGAGTTTAGGGAGCTCTCTCGTCTCACTGGAGATGAGAAGTTCCAGGTATGGAAGAATCAGTTGATATTTTTTTCTTTTTCCACCTCTCTACAGTTCCACCACTGACTCTTCATCAATATGTGTGGTCTCTTTTAGTCTTTAAGTGATGTTAAATCAGTTGTGAAACTCTAGATGAGGGAAGGAAAAGAAACAAAGTAGTTCCAATTATTTTCTGAAATACTGAGTAGTGGAGGTGAATCATTATTTTTCTCCCTCAGAAACAGCTTTTGATCTAAAAAGACCCCACAAAATAATAATAAAAAAAAGAAACAGTAAAACCACACAAAACAAAACCAAAAATAAACACCACCTCTGCCTTTGCCCAACCCCTGTTTTTTATCATTGACATTTTTGTTTGACACTATGTTGTCAGATTTTGTAAAAATATGAAGCTGAATGGGGGACTGTGAAACTCCCTTCCTAATGTTCTTGGAATTCTGTATGTGGTTTCTTGATGCCATTATCTAACTGTGAAGAACAAAACCTTGGTGTTGCCAGCCAAGGAACTAAAATGTGAGTCACTAGGTAAGGATCTGACAGCAGGTCACAGTACAAGGAAAAGTTAGTGGAAACATAATGCCAGAGAACATAATATTTTCCACTCCTTTTTGCTTGGCGATGTTGTTTTATTGTTTTAAACTTTCTCCACAGCTCAGGTTTTGAAGAGTGCAGTTATTTCAATAAGGTATTTTAGCTCGTCTTCTACTTTGTAAATAAGAGTAAGTCAGGTCATGGTTCTGTGCTATAGCACTAGCTTTCAAGTGGGCTTCCTTGAGGGAGAGGAAGTAGTTATAATTATTTCAGAGGTACTTAAATGTACCCAGAACATCGTATTTTGTGAGTTAGAAAGTTTATAATCCTGTATTTAATATATTGTGTGAGCTGAAGTTGATGTCCCTGCTGCTAATTAGAGGAAGAATAGTGAAAGATTTGTTACTGGCCTGAAGTCACTAGCCAGTTTGATGCATCATCTATTCCTGTAATTTGTTTCCTTTTTTCTTTCTTTCAGAAAGCTGTAGATGATGTGATGAAACATGTTCACACCCTCTCAGGGAAAAATGATGGACTAGTGCCTATGTTCATCAACACCAACAGTGGACAGTTCACTCACTTGGGTGTCTACACTCTTGGAGCCAGAGCTGATAGCTACTATGAGTATTTGCTCAAGCAATGGATTCAGGGTGGGAAAAAAGAAAATGAGTAAGTTTTTCCCACTTATCATGTCGATGTGAGAATTATGTGAGCTGTAAACTTTCTTTTGCAGTTTGTTGCTTAAAGAAAAATGTGTGTGCCAAATACCACTGTTTTTATAACCAAACAAGAGGGACCTGTGGTAATTTGATGTAAAAACAGAATGAGAGGCTTGATCTCAAAGCTCAAAAAGCTTTTCTTCCTCAGCACATCAGATGTAAGGAGTGTCACAGACAGGAGAAGAGAATTAAATATTTGCAGTAAACATGGAGTATAATTAGACACTTCTGAAATACTGATGAGGCTTCAATTCACCAGCAATGTCTAGTTTGTCTCTGGATTTGTTAGTGACAGGTAGTTGAGATGGGAAACTTAATCTGTGAAGAGCAGTTTTCCTTGAGAAGAGAAGACTAAGAGGGGACCTTATTAATTTGTACAAATATCAGAAGGGTGGGTGTCAAGAATGGGTCAGTCTCTTTTCAGTGGTGCCTGTGAGAGGACAAGCGGAAATGGCATCAAGTGACAACACAGGAAGTTCCACCTCAACATGAGAAAGAACTTCTTTACTGTGAGGGTGACAGAGCCCTGGTACAGGCTGCCCAGAGAGGTTGTGGAGTCTCCTTCTCTGGAGACTTTCAAGATCCGTTTGGATACATTCCTGTGTGATCTGCCCTGGGTGCTCCTGCTGCATCAGAGGGGTTGGACTTGTTGATCTTCAGAGGTCCCTTCCAACCCCTGTGATTCTCTGATTCTTAGAAAGGAGTCTGAAGTTTGAAGTTTGTGTAAAATTGCTTTAGATCCCTTCTCTTTGTTTTATCTGCATTGGTTAGGTTGAAGAGAATGTTTGCAAGGAGCAGAGGAATTTAAGATGTTGGAAATATGTTCCTTTAAAACAAAGCAAAAGAATTCAAGTAGTTTTTGCTTACGAGCTAATTATGTTGGACTTGTTGTGTTGAGTGGTTTGATGCATACAGAGCAACAACATGCCTCTGAGCCATTTCTTTGTACCAGAGCAAATGCCAAGGAAGTTTGCATCATTGCTTTTTCTAAGCCACAACTCCCTGTCAAATGACAAGTGTTGTCTTTGGGACCATGAATGGTGACATTTTTTAAGCCTCAAAATGCAATTGTTCAGC